CAAGGTAGTCAAAGCAGTTCACACACGCGCACACATGTTGATGTTTCTAGATAGCAGCTGTGTTGCCATTTCTAAGTGGGTTTTATGCCAAGGCTGAGCAGCTAGAACGGCATCTGCAACCTTTTCTTATGCTTTCTAGACATATCCAATGAATTGAGTGAACACCGTCCTGTGCAACAGTTGTAGCAAGGTTGACTTATTTGCTGACGCATTTTTCTATGAGTTTAGTTAACTTTTCATCAAGAAATGTTTTGCTGAAATAGGCGTTTTTGGACCACCGTTGCTGCTGCCATGTGTCTCCTCATTTGTCTCCTTACACGTCTCCCCATCATCGTTTTGTTTGCCGCTGCCTCCCCACTTTTCTCCTTATATACTTGTCTCCCCGGTTTCCCCATTTGGCCCAAACAACATTATGTTTGAATCTTGTTCGTTGGAGATGGTGCAGTGGAAATATATATATATGGTGCAGTGGAAATATATATATATAGGGCGGAGCCTCGTCTGTACACGCGGAATTTGCCTCGCCTGTACACGCGCATAGATTTACTCGGTTGTGCACGCGCTCCTCGGCTGTGCACGCTGCTTGCTCGGCTGTGCACGCTGCTTGCTCGGCTGAATGAATGAATGAATGAATGAAATGAATGAATGAATGAATGAATGAGTGGATGAATGAGGGACTGAAGGAATATGTGAAAATGAATGAATGAACAAATGAATGAATGAAATGAACTGAAGTGAAATGAACTGATTTAAACTCAACTGAACTGAACTGAATGAAGGAATGAATGAAAATGAATGACGAACGAACGAACGAACGAATTAATGAATGAATGAATGAATGAGTGGATGAGGGACTGAAGGAATGTGCGAAAAATCAAACGCAGAGCATCTGTGTGACGTGGTACTGTGGAAGCAATGAGCAAAAAGAGATCATGACTCAATTTGTGTGTGCGCAGGTGAGGCGATTCTTGTGTGCGCAGCTGAGTTTGAGGTAACATGGGGTGTTTAAAGAAGAATGTAATCGATGTGTGCGCAGCTGAGGCGAACCCTGTGTGCGCAGGTGAGTTAAACAAAAAAACGCTGTGTGCGCAGGTGAGGCGAATTTTGTGTGCGCAGGTGAGGCGCCATCCTATATATAGGTATGTATACAGCTATATTTACACATTCTCCTCGTCAGCGCACCAGCGGCAGCAAGCAAAAACCGATACGTTTTATGAAAAAGACACCTATAGGCGTCCCGACTCCTCCTCCTCCTCCTCCTCCTCCGCCGCCTCACTCTCCTCCTCTCGCTTCCTCATCATCGTCAATCATCAACTGACACATTTGAACTTACATAACTCAACTCACACAACTCACCTCGCACAAGTCAACTTACACAACTCAATTCACACAACTCAAGCGACGTAACTCAACTTACACAACCCAACTCACGCAACTCAACTTACGCAACCCAATTCACACAACTCAACTCTCAACTCAGCTGGCGCAACTCAACTCAGACAACTCAACCTACTAGTACATGACCCAACGTACATAACTCAACTTACACAACTCAACCACACAACTCAATTCACTGTGTGGCGTCTACAGCCTCTTCTATGGCTACCGGTCCGCGCCTGTCGTATGTATGTATGTATGTATGTATGTATGTATGTTTTACATATTTAATGCAATGTAATGTATGCAGTGTTTGTAACGCATGCAATGTACGAAGTGCGTGTAACGCAACCGAACGCAATGCAACCGCAATGCAATGCACGTGTATGTACGTGTATGTATGCGTGTGTACGTTTAGTTATGTGCGTGTATGTGCGCTTACTTACTTACTTACTTACTTACTTACTTACTTACTTACTTACTTACATACTTACATACTTACATACTTACATACTTACATACTTACATACACGGCTCAAGGTTTGAGGTCTTTTGCAGATCTCCCCCTTCGAACATTGCCTGCGCTTTGACCATAAGGAGGCACAGGGACACCTTCAACTACAGCGCATTCTTTGCTCGCAATCTTGTGCTACACCACCGACCCTACTGTGGACTCCTTTGGCATGCAATCTGTGGGCGTGGCATATAGTCCTGCATTTTTGTGGGCCTTGTCTGGGTGGCCGTAGAGGTTATGGTGCTGTCACAGGCGCCTCCACAGATGGGTACAAAGCCGTGGCCATGAGCCGCCCGTTGAGGTGTGTCAGCTATGGCTAATACCTTGTGTCACATCAAAAGTATCATCCATGTGTTCTCCTGCACCAGCAAATGACTTGTCCCCGTCATTGGTGGTGTGGAGAGCCCCTGAAAGGTGTGTAGCTTCAGTTGTCTCATGTGTCTTGTCCCCTGCACATTGTTCAACTGAGTGCCCCTGGTTGGCATCTGAGCCTGAGGCAGCACGGCAAGCCCTTGTTGGTTGTCGTTGTCCTGCTGGTGCGGTGGATGCCTCTTCGTTCCCCTGTAGAGACGTTCCCCATGGTTTGACCTTCAGAGCCTTCACATGACAAGATGTCATCGTCTGGTACTGGGAAGGTCCACCCCTGTAGAAAAGTACTGCCGAAAGTGTTGCCCACAGTGTCCTGGTGAAGCTGGCGCTGTGGCATCAGTTTTCCTGCGCTTGGTTGGGTCGTCAGGATCCTGATTGGGCCTCTTCAGAAGCCCATGGAGCTGGGTCTTTTGTTCCTCTGTTAGGGAGATGCCCAAGCTACGCGCAAAGGATTCGACCGCCGTTGTGATTTGTTGGGTTTCACCCGCTGGCTCAGTCAGGTCGGCCGGTGTGGGTGTCTGATTTACGGCCTTCATGTAATCTTCCGACAAGCTCTTGAAGGTCTTTTGACCATCAGCCAACTTAGCCTGGAGTTCCTGCATGTCGTTGAGGAGTGCAGCATACTGAGATTTGACATGGTCAATCTTCGTCTGAAGCTGTGTTTTTCTCATGGACATGTTCTTCAGCTCAGAAACTTGGCCTTTCAGCTTAGCAGCAATCTCGCGCTCTGTGTAGGGTGGCTGGACCATGCGTTGGAGAGGAGTTCGGTTGCCTCCTGTTGGACCTTGGAGCGCTTCAATGGCTTGATCTTCTGTAGGCCTGGTGGTGCTTCAAGCCATTGCTGGTTGGTCGTAGGGGCTTTGTTGGCTAGTGTTGTGGATTGTTGACCACCATGTACCACACCTGCGACAACGTGTTCCTGGCTGGATTTTGTCTTGCCAGATCCAGTTCTGACAGGAACTTTTTGCTGCAGACAATGTAGGTTCTGCACCAGGATGCTGTCTTGGATGATGTCGTTGCGGCGGGTGCGGATGACCTCAAGGGCTTTGTTAAAGTCCAAGAGATGGGTGTTGATCACCTGGTGCTCTGTGTTCTGGCCGAACTTGAATGCAATGCAGTTGCCCCAGTCTGGATCTCTATCTCCCGGAAGTTGAGGTGACGATGTCAAAGTTCTTAGGAAAGGGATCTCCAGTCTGGCTTGATCTCTATCACGGGTAAAGACCAGGGCCGGTGCCTTTGGCCAGGAGGATGTAAAACCCTTGAGGTAGCCGGGTGAAATGTTTGTAGCGCGTTGGGGATCCGCACTAGGTCGATTTGAAGGGGCACGACCTTGAGCACTCGTGACCTTGAGCCATGTATGTATGTATGTATGTGTGTATGTTAAAAAACAGTTTGGAAAGAAAACACCTTACACTCCGACACTCTGCGCGACAGCTCATGCAGCAAACCTTTTGCTTGACGATCGAAGGACTTGTGTCAAGATGGACCGTATGCCCCCACTGCATGTTTGCGCCAGAACTATTTGCGCTTGCAAGATTCTTGCCAGGGTCCTGTCAGTTTTCCGTGCGCCAGGCCAATGGTTACAATCGTGCTATGAAGGAACATGGTCCACCACCAGTATCCTCAAGACGAGAGCTTATGCTTTGGCTGTGCATGGTCCGCACCCCAATTACCAGACCCAACAAACATGCAACATATGCTCGCTTGGTCCTAGCAAAGGCGGAGAATCGCTGCCTCAAATCAGCAGGTCGCGAGACCCAGGAACAGAGAACGCACACAGTTCCAGGTAGATTCAAACGAATATTTTCTCGTCCAACTGACGATCAAGGCCTCCAAACCAACCGGTGCCGCTACTTTGACTTGATGTCAAGGCATGTTGGAAGTGAATGTATGAGCAAAGGGCCTGAATATTTTTTTGTGGCAGGTGGCGATATGCCGATGGTTACCTCTAGAAAATCTCCTCCATCTCGTCGCGGCCTGGCCAATATGGCCTTGCAGAAGTGCAGGATGTTGTCTCAAAAATGTTGGATGGGAGAAAGTGCGCTGGCGTTGATTGACTCTTGTGTTGTTTTCATTTGTTTTCTTCTCGCGATCCCATTTGTAGGGAAGCAAGCGCAAGGTGTGCATTCTTTTCTCGCAGCATAGTTTCTCAAAATTTTCATAATGTATGCAACAAACACACAGAGAAAGAAACGCGGCATTTGGTTGTTTTTCAACACTTTCGGATGGCATGTGAGCTGCCATGGTTTCGACGGACAACTGATTGGGTCTCAGATTCCTGCTCGGATCAGAGCCTAAACCTTGACTTGAAGTGATTTGTGGTTTTGTGTTATCGTTTTTCTGACTGATTTCTGGAGACTTGGGAAATGTGGCCAAGGTGCCCGATTGACTCCTCTTTTGGCAAGAGATGCATATTCCATAGCAAAGCCAGTCAGGCTGTCGCAAAGGAATGGATGTGCCGGCACGTCTTTGCCCAGAAAGGCACGCTGGTTTTGATTTTGATGTGAAGTGTGACCAAAGGGAATGTGTAAAGCATGAAGGTCATTTATTTGAAAGATGTGCAGAATCTCCGGGTTTGCTTGGCTGGATGTGCGACGTGTGCTTCGATGTCAAGGCTCATGGTTTCTAGCGTTATTCAAGCTGGACAATATAACGTCGGATTTGTTTGCGTTGCACGTTCATTTTCAACAAGCTATTTTGCCGATTTCTGCTCAAAGCCTCTCATCCCAAACTTCCAGCCATGTTCCGTACAGGTGAGCCAGCTTATGTGTTTGCTCAGCACGTCTCTGGTCCCCAAAGGGCAGTGGTATTACAAGACCCTGCAAAGGTGAAAGTGACGGCTTTGGACGAAGCAGCCTTAAGGTTTCTACCTGACTTTAATGGCAAATCTGTTGGGCACGAAAGGAATGATTGGAATTGTGGCAGCACTGAAGATGGAAGCGACCAAGACAGCTTTTCCCGCGGATCATCAGCATCCTATTCTAATCCTGGAGTTCAATACGAAGCAAGTGAGTCGCCCGATCAATATTCAGAGCTGCAAGAGGCTTGGTCAACTCGTGTCCAGACCTCAGATGCGGGGTTTCTTCAAGAAATTCGATAAAAAAAAACCTAAAGAAACACAGAAAGCAATATATAATGGGCCCCTTCCCTTTTCTTTTTTCATCTTCTACTCCTTTCATGTTTTCAAGGTCTTTCCACCCGCCAAGGAGTCAACTCAAGCAAGCTCAAAGCTGATCCTGTGCCGCTGGCACAAATCGGCCGGCACTGTTGGGTCGATTTCGGCTGATGGGCATACTTTCAAGAAGACAGCAAGCGGTCAGAAGGCCACTTGAAGCAAACTTGGGACTTGGAACTTGTGAGCACCAAGTTCTCCAGGTTCAAGTGGCACTGTACAAGTTCCCCCAAATGCATCTTTCAGGATCTTGCTGGAGCGAGCCTTTTTGTTTGCATGTCTAGTGCATGCCTGAGTGAAGACCGAGATTGAGTCAGCAGCCTCACCATGTAAATCTACTTTCAAAACCCCTTGCGACTCTTGCAGGTTGAAGCCGGAACTTTGTGACTCCCCTCCAGAAACAGTTGTCTTAAGCCACCGGAACTTCAAGTCTTGTGTCAAAGAACTCCTCCTAGACTTTCAGATGAGGCGACAGCTGTTCCAAACCTTGTTTTGTTCCTTTGTTTGCCAATATCTTCCTGTGCGAAGCAACCTGGGGCGACCAAAGCAAGAACTGTGCGAGCAAGGGAGCTTGCACCACTATGAAAGCATTCCTTGATCGCAGTCGGCCTCAAACTTTGCAAACACTATGTTACAAAATACCTAAATCTACAGCAATATGTTCGGTGCCCCTGGAGTGCTCCGATTTGTTTGTCAGGTTGTGATCAATGACCGTGGAACCCCCATGGAACTCAGCTCTATTTGCATGGTCTTTGACTCTACCTTGCGGTGTGGAGGCCAGAGTTTAATGTTTCTAATGTTTCCTTTGGAACAGAACTTCATATGCACCTGTCAGGTGAGGGTCTCTAGATTTTATATCAGCGACTGGCCGAACCCACCTCCGCCCATCTTTCCGCCTTACTTCCAGCCTTCCGAGAAGATATGTTAGTGCAGACTTGACAGCTCGACACATGTCAGAACACATTCGCGCTGAACTGTGGCGCGCTCGGGTGGCAGAGTGGTGCGCGCTGGACTTTGCGTGCTCGGTTTTTACCGGCTTTGGGCGATGCAAGTTGGGCTTTTGCCACAAGACATATTTATCAGAGAAAATGTCGAAGCGCAGCCAGAAAGCATGCCAGAGCACATGTGACACAAAATGCCACCACAAATATCAGAACAGATGTCTAATTTCGGAGCACTTGCCCGACACTATGCCAGAACAAATGTCAGAATAGGCAGAGCAAGTGTCAGGACAAATGTCGGAACATATTGTTGAGCCCGTGCTAGACCAAATTGAAGGCTTGGTGGCAGAACATGTCAGAACAAAAGCCAGACCATACGTTACAAGCGACAGAGCACATGCCAAACTTGATGGGAAGGCACGAAGGACAAACCAAAAGGCATGTCAGAACACATGTCAGACTTGACGGCAGGACTAATGTCAGAAGACGTGCCAGAGATGTCAAACACATTCTAGACACGTTCGTCAAAACATGCCAACACGGACGCCAAAACAAAGGCCAGAACATTGTGTCAATGCACTTGCCAAGCAGTGTTTGTCAGGATAGCCTGTCAATTATACATGTGCCCTGCCTTCTTCCAAGCCGCCTTTCAGGGTGGGGATGACTTGGACTAAGGTAATCTTAGTTGCATGTCAGATTTTCAAGCGCAACCTGTCACAGGACTCCATACATATCAGTATACCATCGTGGACGGTGAACTTGGGCCTGCGGATGGCGCTGGGTTTGTGTTTGATTCCAAAGTCCGCCGCAGCTTGGTTCGACCGGGCTGGACGCAGTGAGCCGGTGCAAAACGTTGTGTTTCATGAGTTTGTTTGCGCAAGCAGAAACAAACAACTCAACTGGTGTGACAAGCCTTTTGTCCAGCTGATGGGTTTTACAAGTGTCAATACCAGTGTTTTGCCAACGGTTAATCGTGCGCTTCAAATCTTCCCGGTCACACTTGGTAAGGGACCATGCCCCACGCTTTATGATTAGCAGCTCAGGGCCAAGGGTTGCAAGTTAGGACATGTGAGTGCAAACATGAGGAGTTTTGAGGAAATGATGTAGTCCAAGAGAAGACGCATTATTTGCATCATGCAAAGCATCAACAAGGCATTGCTCTGGGCATCGAACAAGTACGGACAAAGTGCAGACCCAAATAAGTTGCAAGGAAATTCAACTGATCTCAAGGGTAAGGGAACATTGCAGCTCAAGAGTGATTGCACGCAATTCTCAGTATACTCCTTCAGCGCGAAACCAGTGTTTCAAGATGTTTTGTTGAGTTCCACTTAGGAAACAATATCCAGCAAATGCGGACGGTCTTTCTCAACAAACGCGGGGCATGGGCCCGAGATGTTGAGTGTGCCTTGCAAAGCTTACCGTATCTTCCTGCTCAACTTACATGGTTTTCAGGTGATTTGCATCCGTGACCGCCATAATGTTCGCAAGTTGACAGCGCAGTTGCCTCCACTGGAACCGGGGCTGTGAGCCTTGGACATGATTGAGGAAATGTTGCTATCTGTAGATGGCGACATGGGGTCTTTCACCTCTTCTTTTGCGGTAGCAACGATGCTGTAAAAGGACATGCTCTCCTTGCACAACCTCAGGTTTGTCATTGACGGTGGACTTGGACAACTCGCAGCTGCAGTTTGTCATCTCATCACATGAAGGCAGGGTTGTAATAGCACCCCAAAATACCCAAGGTTTGAAGCTGGGTGGAGTAACCTCAAAGTATGATGTACTGTCAAGAACTAAAAGGCGAGATTAGCGAGATTGTCATTTTGCTCATCTCTGAAGTCTTCTCCTAAAACCAGCTCGTCACGCTGAGGTGGGTCTGACTTTTTGAGCATGGTAGAACCCTGCAGATCATGCAGCCATGCAAGACAAGCAGAGGTATCACATCCGGTCCTGCACCAGTCCGCCTCTCCTGAATGCAAGACCAGCGCTGTCTTCTTTGAGATTCGCTAGTGCGTTAAGAGTGATACTGAGTACGCGTTGCTCTGCGGCCCTTGCTCTTTCACAACCTTTCAACCCCCCACTGCGCCAAAGTGGTGCCCGATTGCAAGCTGTGCAAAGTGCACACGTTTTTTTTTGTTTGGTGCAGATCAACTTCTCAATCCTCGCCACAGAAATTCAGCTCCGAGTTCGATAATCCCAAAGCACATTCTGAATTGACACTCAAGATCGCACAAAAAATAACACCTAAAGACGGGTTCCAGAAATGCTGGAGGCAACTGTCTAGAGTCTAGACAGGAGCACAGCAGCCTTGATGGTGAGACGGCCCAGGTTTGCTGTTTTGGGTGGTCGACCGCCACGAGAAATTGCAATGGTGCTGTTTGCATTCTCATGATTCACATGATCATTCCCGCAAGCTGGTAGTGCAGCAACTGAGATAGTTGAAGTGAGCAACGTTTCCTTGATTTAGATGTGAACTTCAGGCGTCCTTGGCTTTGCAGAGGTGCAATTGGATTGCCTTTTTGATCTCAGCATGAAGGTGGACATCGAGACGAGCATAGCACAACGCAAGGGGAGTAATGTTCCAAACATAAGAAGATACCTAACATGGAGTGCAGATTGTGGTTTGAGGATGACTCATCAATGCTGCGAAACTTGCATTCTTGGCTGCTCTGCAGGCTTCTTTTCAAAGTGGTTTTTTTTGCGCTGTCGTCACGAAAGAGATCACAGTGTCTTTGTGGTGTAGCTTGGAAGGCAGGTAAGGCCATATTGTTTCTTTTGCTTGGAGGTTGGATTCTGCACAATGCTTTTTGTCCGAAAGAAGTTGAAACAAGTTAGTGTTGTTGGAATATAGATTTACCCGGTGTTTTGTGGTTTTGAAGCTAGCATTCTTCAGTACTTTGGTGCTTGAATGTACATATGTATATAAGTAGTTTGGTTTATTCCAAAAGATTCGCTCTCATTAGGATTTACACAACTCAACAGAGATGGTGGGCTTTGGCAAAGACGAATGCACTGGACTTTCGTGATGGTATTTGTTGCCAGAGAATCTGGATGTGCATTTTGATTTAACTTTGCTGTGATCTCTGAGCTTCAAGCATCTTGAGTCTTCGGTCCAAGCTTGATTGTCAAGAGTGGTATAGGGGTTGCCTTTTGTAGCCACTTGCCTGTTGCATCATCAGTGCACCACAGCAAATCTGTCTCCTGCTGTCGTTTGTTCCCTGCCTACGGTCCTGCCCTTGAGTTTCAATTTCAGGGGGCAGGACCCTTTCTGACTCCAAAATGCCCGAGAAGGTGTGAAGTGGCACGGCGCGAGCAAGAAAGATCGTGTTGTCATGTTCACGCCTCAATGATCTGAAAAAACAACTCAGTTCTGCAGGATGACAGTACTTCCAATGTAATTAGTACTCTTAAAAAAGCAAGAAACGTGGCCATGTACGTCATCTTGTGGAGAGATTCCGTGGTTTCCGTGCGTATGGAAGCGGAACTCAAATCTAAAGATTCAAGCGTCTCAACACCGAGCTCTTAGCAGGGTGTGCCAAAATCGGACGCTCCGACGGGTTGAGACCTTGCCTGGAACGTTTCAAAATGAAACCTTCGGTAGAACACCAATGTCCAGCGGCTGAGCTGTGCGCAAAGAAAAACGAAGCCTCAAGCTGGGTTGCTGTGGATGCCACTGAGCATGAGCTATAGCTACTGGTAGGACTTCAGGTTGACCTGAGACAAGGCTGCATATGCTTTCAAACCATAGCTTTGGCAGGATACCACGTCAATCCTCAGGAGCCGAGCACTACGTGTTTTCAGGTTGCTTTAGGTTGCTGGTTGCTCAGAGTCGCTTTCCGTTCTCCTTCAGGACAAGATTCAAAGACTTTGCTCATCAAGCGCCTAAGTTCTCAATATGGCTGCTCTGAAGTGGAGGTTGGCTGGAACCCCAAAGAATCTTCACTAGTCACTAGCACATCAAAAACCGAGAACTGCACGTGGACAGGTTGAGCGAAGCCTTTCGGTCTTTCAGCTTGCAGACCGCTCGGGTGACGGCACGATCCAGCGAGAGGCACCTGTTCGCCGCCTTATTCTGCCGTTTTCTTTCATTTTCGTTTCCATTGTTCTTCGTTTTTCTTCGCTTTGCTTTTGTTGGTTGTTGTTTGCCCATTCTCGTTACATCCTTTGTCCATCGATGCACCTTTCTGGCTGCAGTGACGAATATGCAACGAGCGCAGGAATTCGAAGCAAAGGTTTGTACCGTATACTACCGCCGCATACCATCGATCCCACGGACTGTAGGTGCCTGTGACCACAGCGGTTAGTCGATTTAGTCGATAGAGTCAGGTTACTACTAGCTAAGCTCCTAGAAGTACGGCCAGAAGCCCCTAGTAGCGTTCTTGCTCCTAGTAGCGATGCCCTTTGCTCCTAGTAGCTTCTTGTTTATTCAAGAACATTGAAACGAAGTGAGAATGCACATGAGACGCGGTGCCTGAGATTTTGCGATGGCAAAGCGCTGTGAGGACAGCGCCATCCGCTCAAGTTCAGCTCACATGCAGAGTTTTGTTGGATTTGCTTAATTTCCTAAGTTTCACTTCAGGTCTCAAAAGTGAGACATGATGACATGATGAGGGCAGGAGAAGGCTTTCGCCAAGCACTTCACAGAGCACAAGTGCTGCATCAGCGCCAGGTTTGGGTGCGTAGTTTCTGCCAATGCTCTGGACTTTGTGCTTGTATGGCCGCTCTTTGCTGTGCTGTGGCTGCGTCTATATTTATCTACGTGGCTGGGGATGGAGCTGGCAACGGACCAGCGCCTGCTGTTCCTTGCCTGAAAATCTTGGAATCAATAGTCAAGGCAGTTGGGAACTGTTGAGGTTCGTGCCAGGGTGAGTGAGGGTCAGCATGAGCTGGGCATATCACAATGCAAAGTAGGATTCCAATGGTGTTCATCATTTGTAGGGTGGTGGCTTTGAGTTGCCACTTTTGAGAGGGAGTATTTCACAGGCTGTGGCCTACAAATGCACTAGCGACCTCTACTTTGGACGTGTGCTGAAGCCAGAGCAGAAAGGTTCGGGTTATGGGTCAGAGGAACATCTATAAACGTACAGATTCGTTGACTAGGCATGATACCTCGGAATTCCCTCTCAGAGCACTTGAATCTGCATCGTCCATGCTTCATTTGAATTGCCGGCTGTTGGCAAGCTCTGACCTTTCTCTCGAGCTCGGAAAAAAATTATGCAGTCAACACTAAATGCAAGAGACTCTTGGGTGGGCTTGAAACTCCGAACCTTGCTAGGACTTGCTATCGACGACACAACCTTCCATGAATGTGGCCATGCAATTCCAAGGATGTGGCCTAACACGCAGGACAGGATGATGAGAGGTATTGGGATCCCAAGTGAGCCATATGGCCATGTCAGATATGTTTGTTGCAGCTCTGAGAGCTTTGCAGTCTAAATGCCGAGTGGAGTGGAGGATTTCTTTTCTTTTCTTGCATCACACGACTCACGTGACAGGCTCCTCTCACGTCACTTCGACTCTTCAAGGCATGGGACAAGGCCAGAGAGAACACTGAACACAATTGAACGACTTAGTGCATCTTAGTACTATGTGCAATGGCCTCCAACCTACTAGTGATGGCCTCCACCCTAGTAACAATGGATACACCATGTACTTTGCATTTGCAGCTCTTTGCACTCGCAAGATTTCTACATTGCACTTGCATGGCTGGACAGTGACCAAACATGAGTGTCTCAGCCTTAAACATCAAGCGAAGAGGAACGGTAAAGAAACACTGGAAAACCTATTCAAAGGCTCTCCAGATCTTTTTGCACAGTTCATGTGCTTTCATCTTGATGATTGTGAATGGCATGTACCGATCATGTACTACCTTTTTTCCTCAGATAGCGAAGCTATGGGGTTCTTACTTCAAACAACAATGAGTTGCCCGTGCGTGCTTTTGAGACAGGTTGCCGGTGCCGGTGCTGGTGCTGCGAGCTGGCTGTGCACGTGGTGGAGACAGGTTGCCGGTGCTGGTGCTGTGAGCTGGCTGTGCACGTGGTGGAGACAGGTTGCCGGTGCTGGTGCTGGTGCGCCGGTGCTGGTGCTGGTGCTGGGTGCCGGGTGCCGGTGCTGGTGCTGGTGCTTTGAGCTAGCTGTGCATGTGGTGGAGACAGGGTGCCGGTGCTGGGTGCCGGGTGCCGGTGCTGGTGCTGGTGCTTTGAGCTAGCTGTGCATGTGGTGGAGACAGGTTGCCGGTGCTGGTGCTGTGAGCTGGCTGTGCACGTGGTGGAGACAGGTTGCCGGTGCTGGTGCCGGTGCGCCGGTGCTGGTGCTGGTGCTGGGTGCCGGGTGCCGGTGCTGGTGCTCGTGCTTTGAGCTAGCTGTGCATGTGGTGGAGACAGGGTGCCGGTGCTGGGTGCCGGGTGCCGGTGCTGGTGCTGTGAGCTGGCTGTGCACGTGGTGGAGACAGGGTGCCTGCGCTGGGTGCCGGGTGCCGGGTCCCGGTGCTGGTGCTGGTGCTGTGAGCTGGGTGTGCGCGTGGTGGAGA